CTGAAGAATTATGCAGATCTAGGAAGGTGTTATTCGCCTCTTCGGAAAATACCTTAGCTTCTCGATCTCCATAAATCTTCATATCATACTCATCCTTATCCAATAATTGCTAAATTAATGGTTCCGAGAGTCCTCTTTTACATTTTCGTCTTCACTTCTTTATTATTATCATTTGACCAGCCTAAAAAGGAAGAGTAATTATTGAGTTCATGTTTACTAAAAGTTGCATAAATTTCACCTGCTTATCTAGCCTGTTTTTCAAGCAGGGATCAAATTTATCGCGAAGATGAATGCATACACGTGAGTGTCATCGAAAAATTACTCATAAAAGAAAAGAAGAAAGCTAAAGGGAGTAACTATGTCTAGAGGAAACAACTAGTTTAATCAAAAGATGAGTGTCTGCAGTGACTTCTGTGATAGCCTGCATAGCAGGCGCTTGGAAGTATCGGGCCCAAGAAAGAACGGGGCGCGCTCCTTTTACTTCTAAACAACTGTTACGTAGGCTACTTCTGGGCAAGGGATGATCATTCGTGTTCTTCTATAACTAAGGGATATTCCGAAGAAGGACCGGCGCCTGCCCCTGATTCACAACTGCGATGCGGTAATGTTAACTCATTTATCATTCTCTAAAAGAGACGCAAATACATGGTCGATTATACGTGTTATTCTTTCAAGATAATAAGTTACAAGAATATTTCCTTTCTAGCTCAGCTACTATAACTGATTAACGCAGAATTATTTCTCCATAAAGCGACATATTGTGATGCACTTTTACGTTGAACTTCTATGTCGACGCTATTTGATAATACGATTAGTTAGCCTTAGAGTTGAACATTTCTAAGCTGATTTAAACGTTTTAAAAACGTTTTATCAGTTTTTAGCAAGCGGAATCGATAAGAAGATTTTCTGTGAGGGTACTTGAAAAGCACCTGTTATATGCAGTATGGAATTGAAGGCTGTTACCTACTACCTACGGTAGTATTATCATAAATCGTTCTAAGGAAAGGGTTCTCCTATCTGTTTGAGGGAGTTCATTGTGGGTGAGGGATATGAGGATTTTTCAGTTGGAAAAACATTTGACGGGCGGCCCGTAATCGAACCTATATTTTACACTGACCCAATCCCCCCCCCCCCCCCAAACAAAAATAAAGTAAAATAAATAATAAAATAAAATAAAACTATAATGATACCGTTTTCAGGGAATCAAGAAGTTGCTGAAAGTTTTTGTACGGTTTTCATTGTTTATTTCTTGTGCTACTTCAGTGTTTTCACATTGCGATGACTTAAATGTCTTTTAAGAGCGTTTTCCTTCCATTGCTTTTTATAACTCATAAAAAATTGCAAGCACTGAAATATAACTATCCTGCCTAATAAGATATCCCTTTTTTGGCTACCTTGTGTACTAATTAAACTTACTGTAACAAAACAATTAAAAAAAGCTGAAAGATAAGTTATTAACTTAGCNCCCCCCCCCCCCCCCAAAAAAATAGACTTTCAGTGGATATATAGAATCTACCATCGCCCTCCCCACCCCTCTCTACTCAGAAACCTTCTGCACCAGAAAGTTTTATTCAACTTTCACACTGTACCAAAGTATGACAAAAAACCTATCCGATATGTGACGCTCCACTTTCGAGATCGGCGTGGCTAAGCTTAGCTCCAGCAAAGAAATCGCGCCGCCACCATCGATCAACTGCTGATTTCAGAGACGATTTGGTGCAGGGTATCGGTATTAGACAAATAATTTTGTCATAATGCTCGCCGGTCCAGTCTACATACATAGGGTTTTAAAATGAGGAAAAGATGGGCGGTGCATAATTTATTCATTTACGACAAATTTGCTTTTCATTTTTGTGCCTTTTTGCCTTTGGTTTCGACTCAGTCTTAATTTTTATAAAGTTATGATAGGTTCTATGGCCGCGTTACTTTCACTATTGTTCTATACCGTCCTATCTGCAACATGGGCGAGAAACCGGGATATATTTTCTTTTCACTAATAGCAGTGTGATAATATCTTAACTTGGGAGCACGCTTCATCAAAAATGATAATGGACGAATGTCAAGACACCAATAAATAAAGCTGTTGTGACGTTTGCCAAATTAACGAAGGAACCTCTTTTTGCTTTTAGCGTGAACGCGTAAGGAGAGCGAGATTGCTTAACAAATGGTAATAAATTGATAAACTTAAAGGAAGATTATTAGTAAAAATACAGAGTTCAGAGAGCTGAAATTAAACTGAACAGAGAACAGCTCAGTAAAGGATGAAATGGTATATTAAACTTTGTTTTCGAGAAATTGAAACCAAATGATTTTGCATATAATTCACCTGTTCATTTTAATTCTCTAAATTTGGGCTAATTTATTGCAAAATAAATGCAAAAAGTTGAACGCTGACAACAAAGCAGTGCATTAAAAGAATATTGGACATGGATATAATCGGTAAGTTTTAAGTCCAAGGGCCCGAAAGAAGTTATATCACTACTTAAGTGCGATGAGTTCTTTACGTGTTTTCGTTTTAATTTGTTCTACGATAGTCAGAGATACACATGATGTGGAGCAAAATTTTAATGGGATATGATTTTTGGCGAATTTCGAGGATTTTCTAATCGGATGCGTGACATGAAGGCCAAAAAAATTAAAATGAAATAAAGCTGCGAAATCTCACTCCTCCAACCATCCGACGACCCTGTTTAAGGAATCTTTGCGGTAACTCTGCTATCTTAGAAGCGTTATGCCTACATATTATAATATAGCGATCCTTTTTCTCCTTAATTACGAGTACGAATTTTAAATTTCAGTTCTGTTATATTCCCAGAACTAACTCGGTTTCCTGTCGTTGATTAACACAAAAAGTGCAGAAGCCAAAAAGGATAAGCGAAATGGTATAGCAGGTGTACTAACTGAAGAGTGATGATCAAAGGTAGTCCACACGGGCTACGTTTGAAAAATCATGCCTGTACTTGTAGTATCGTGAGCGTAGTCTTATTTAAAGGTTCTTATTAAGTTAGAAACGTGCAAGCCTTGAAAATTTTCCGGCATGAAGTGTTTCATTTCGTTTTTGGTTTATAACGGATGAACGAATGGCAAAGGGGATACTAGCGCCGCCGTCGCTTTGAACTTCATTTCGACGATTTATGACAAACGGAGAATATAAACTAAAAACCCCTACGAATTGCCATATCACTTAAGAATCGTTCCTAAAATATGGTCAGAGTACGTATCTTTATCCACAAAAGATGTTCTCGCATTGCGGAATACACGACTCGTAGCAAAAATTTGTTTCCGCGAAACGCAAACCAGTAAAGCGCGAAATAAACTCCTGCTTAATTTTCACGCCAGAAGGCATTCCTCAGATGCTTTTAATTTTCCAGTAAAAGTGAAACCGAACTCGCACAAATAAGCCTTCTCAAGGCTTATATCCATGCCACTGGTCAAACAGGAAAGCCGGAATTCAAAATCAATGATCGAAATCAGTGATCAATAGACAAATTTTAGCTTTCTATCTTCTATTACGAAGGAAACCGAAAACGAAACACTTAACTTGTTGTTTATTGTTTGCCATAATATTTACAAAGCAAGAAATAAGATGTTAAATATTAAAAATGCTAATGGCGAGGCCACGTGGGCTTATAAGGAATAGGCTCCTTTATTAATTATTCTGACGAGGTAAAGAGAACATTATTTTTTTGCTCAGGTTACAGGTGAAGTTGTTTTTTTCATTAGAGAGATTAAGATTCACGTTTACGCCAAACGGCAAACGTGAATTTGTACCACGTGACCAAGTTTTCTCCTTATTTTTCGTTTACTGTTTATTGCTTCTACACAAAAATAAGTGGTTTTATGCCAGTTTTATCCAAAGGAATCGTTCTGGACTGTTTTTATCTGCTTATTTTCTATTTTGAGAAATTCTCAACTGACGTTTGCCGTTTGCCGTGTGCCGTAAACGTGAATCTTAATCTCTCTATNTATTAATTATTCTGACGAGGTAAAGAGAACATTATTTTTTTGCTCAGGTTACAGGTGAAGTTGTTTTTTTCATTAGAGAGATTAAGATTCACGTTTACGCCAAACGGCAAACGTGAATTTGTACCACGTGACCAAGTTTTCTCCTTATTTTTCGTTTACTGTTTATTGCTTCTACACAAAAATAAGTGGTTTTATGCCAGTTTTATCCAAAGGAATCGTTCTGGACTGTTTTTATCTGCTTATTTTCTATTTTGAGAAATTCTCAACTGACGTTTGCCGTTTGCCGTGTGCCGTAAACGTGAATCTTAATCTCTCTATTAGCATTATTTTACCTGATGTATCACTTGCCATAAATAGAGGATATTACACGGTGGCGAGAAGATATGAATTTTATGTTCGAGTGGCAAGAACAATATCTCACGAGTGAGCGAAGCGAACTCGTGAGATATTGTTCTTGCCACTCGAACATAAAATTCATATCTTCTCGCCACCGTGTAATATTCTTTTTATTATATGGAGAAACCAATTCAACAAAAGCAAAAGGCGGGAATCGTGACGTCATTAAACGATACGACACTCACAAAGGTGACATACGGAAAATACGCCACTCGGGTCCCGGATGAAGTGGCGTATGGAACCTACGAGTGGTTTAGTTCCCAGTAAAACACTCTCCTCCATATAATAAATAAGAGTAAATACCTAATTCCCATTTTGCGATACACCAATGCAAGATTATTACTTCTTTATTCGTTTGGACATTATTTGGAGTGCTCGGTAGAACACTCGTCAAGGCCGTTTATATTGGAAAACTGAGACAGAATCCTTTTATTGTTTCCAAATAATTTTATTGTTCTCTCTTTCTCATATATTTTCTCAGCAAGACTGCTCCTCACACTAACATGCTGTTTGTTTGTAATCTATCAAGGAAAACTTCCTGTAAAAAAGAAGGATAACAACCGTCACCGTAACACTGAGTGAAAATGAAAGAATGCTTGATCGTTTGGAATGAAACTGGTTTAATTTTTTCTGAAAAAGAAGAAAGAGCCTGGGTTGCAGCTTTTGTCATCGAGTTTATTGTCATCTTTTTACTAAATGCTTTCACTCTCGCCATCTACACAAGAAACCGTCACTTACGCAAGCGCAGTACGTACCTGATAATAAATCTGACTGTGGTTGATTTACTGGTGGGAACAGTGGCCGGACCTTCCATAATATTCGAACCAGACAACCTGAAGACGGATCTGGGTCTTGAACAAGATTTTAGTTGGCAATCATTCGTTTATCTCACATTACGGGGGCTTTTTTTAGTTGCTTCATTAGTTAATATTTCATTGATTTCTCTAGAGAGGTTACACGCAACACTTTTCCCCTTTAGGCATTGTCTTGTTGGAAAAAGGGTTTACCTAATCACTATTTTGTGTAGTTGGTTGTTTTCCTTGATTTTGTCATCCGTTATCGTCCTTCTTCGTTTGCGCCTATCGCCTGCACATCTGTATGTCATTTTGTCGTACTCTTTTCTCTCCCTTCTCATTCTCACAGTTTCATGTGCTATAATCATCTCAACTGTCAAACAAAATCCTCTCTCGCCTAATGCTGGACCAGTTCTTTCAACAGAAAGGAAACTAACGGTGACTTTATGTATAGTTACTGTGGTTTCTTTTCTGACCATTCTTCCTTGGATTATTTGGACTGTTATCCACTACCACATATGGAGTAAAGTACATGTAGGCCATGCAGTACTTTACCGCATCAGAGACTCGTTTTATGTACTACATTTGTTCAGTTCTATAGTCAATCCCCTAATATATGCAGTAAGAATGCAAGAGTTTAGGAAAGCAGCCAGAAAATGTTTTTGTATTAAGACACTAGAACTAACAAGAGTCCAACCCATGGAACCTCTTACATTGCATGTACGTACTCAAGCAATACCTGTTGAAGAAAGAACATAAGAAATGGAGAGTTCCTTAGAAAAGCACTCACAAGATTGCGGAGGTCTTCTTGCCTAGATGTCTTTTGTTATCTTCAATCAATGTTAGAAAGATATGAGTGGCGAAATAATAAACAATGAAATATAAGGTAGTCATTAAAAAATAGCACGCAAACTGCGTTGATAGACATTGTTGTGCAACAAAATATAACCTTAAACTTTATTGCAACATATATGCAACTCCAGGATGAGTTATATATTGGCTGTAAAGTTTGCATTTTCGTGCGCATGCGCATCTTAATGCTTCCTTGTGTAGTTATATAGGGATAAAATTAAGCCTAGTTGGTGCCTTCCCCTGCCTTCCGTATGCCTTCTCTTTATTAATATGCATAAGTGTCTTCCTGCATACTAATTTAGTGCCTTCCGTGTGCGTTCCTCCATATAAGTGGCTTCCTCCAAATCTAATTAAATGGATAGTCGTTTCTTTTCATGTGGAAGAACACAATAGGAGCAATAGGCTTGCCTATGCTAACGGTGACTTTATGTATAGTTACTGCGGTTTCTTTTCTGACCATTCTTCCTGGGGTTATTTGGATCAATGTCATGCGCCACCACATATGAAGTAAAGTATGCCCTGCAGCCCTTTGCCGCATCAACACACAGGACGAAACAACGTGTTTCCGTATTTTGTAAACTCGACTGAAACGTGAAGTTGCTTAAATCCGTCTTGTTTCCGCCCTGCGGAAACATGGTGATCTAGTTTTCCATGGACGGGACGCGTTTCCGTTATGTTTCCGCGTCGGAAACGAACGATCATGTTTCCGCCACATTTCTGTTATCACTTTTCCGTTCTTTCTTGTTTCCATTACGTTTCCGGTGACCCATGCGCCATGGCCAAGATCGCATGATAAATCTTTCAGAAATTTTGGCTTTGCGTACAATCAAGGTGAATAAAGGTAAATTTACTCTCGAGATCGGGCCATTAAACGGTCAGGCTCATGCATTAAATACTCGCGC